CACACACACACAGACCACCCTCTGCACACACACACAGACCACCTCTGCACACATGCACCACACAGACCACCTCTGCACACACACACACAGAGACCACCTCTGCACATATGCACACACACAGAGACCACCTCTGCACACACACAGACCACCCTCTGCACCACACAGACCACCGTCTGCACCACACACACACACACACACAGACCACCTCTGCACACATGCACATACAGACCAGCCTCTGCACCACACAGACCACCCTCTGCACACATGCACACACAGACAGACCACCTCTGCACACACACACACACACAGACCACCTCTGCACACATGCACACACAGACCACCCTCTGCACACACACACACAGACCACCTCTGCACACATGCACACACAGACCACCCTCTGCACACACACACACACACAGACCACCCTCTGCACACACACACACAGACCACCCTCTGCACACATGAACACACAGACCACCCTCTGCACACACACACAGACCACCCTCTGCACACATGCACCACACAGACCACCCTCTGCGCACACACAAACACACAGACCACCTCTGCACATATGCACACACAGACCACCCTCTGCACACACAGACCACCCTCTGCACCACACAGACCACCGTCTGCACCACACACACACACACACACAGACCACCTCTCACACACAAACACACAGACCACCTCTGCACATATGCACACACAGACCACCCTCTGCACACACAGACCACCCTCTGCACCACACACACACACAGACCACCTCTGCACACACAGACCACCCTCTGCACACACAGACCACCCTCTGCACCACACACAGACCACTTCTGCACACATGCACACACAGACCAGCCTCTGCACCACACAGACCACCCTCTGCACACATGCACAAACACAGACCACCCTCTGCACACACGCAGACCACCCTCTGCACACATGCACAGAGACCACCCTCTGCACCACACACAGACCACCCTCTGCACACATGCACACACAGACCACCCTCTGCACACATGCACAGACCACCTCTGCACACACACACAGACCACCTCTGCGCACACACACACAGACCACCTCTGCACACACAGACCACCCTCTGCACACACACAGGCCACCTCTGCACACACACAGACCACCTCTGCACACACAGACCACCCTCTGCGCGCACACACACACAGACCACCTTTGCACACACAGACCACCTCTGCACACACACACACACACAAACCACCTCTGCATACACAGACCACCCTCTGCACCACACACATGCACACACGTGGGCTCCCCCTCTGTAGCACACACACGTGCACACTAACACTGTTCCCCTCTGCAGTACCTACATGCACACACAGTTCACCCTCTGCACCACACACGTGCACACACAGTTCACCCTCTGCAGCACACACATGTGCACACACACATGTTCCCCCCTCTGTACCACACGTGTGCGCACACGGTTCCCCTATGCAGCACACACGTGCACACACTCGTGGTTCACCTTCTGCAGCACACACACGTGCACACGGTTCCCCCTCTGCAGCACACGCACGTGCACACACGCGGTCCCCCCCTCTGCAGCACACGCACGTGCACATACGCGGTCCCCCCTCTGGAGCACATGCAGACGCGCGCACGGACTCGAGGAAGTCCCAGTCCCGGGCTTTGGG